GTGCAGCGTGTAGTGGTGCAGGTTAATTGGAGTACCAACACGTAGCTTTGATTGGTTGTTTGACGGTACTTCGTCAAGCAAGACTAGGCATTAATTGTTTATGTGTGCAATCAGGTAACGCGGCACTGGTGAGGATGCCAATTTGTCCTTAAATTAGGCTACCGAATCATCACGAGTCGAACTGGATCTATACTACCTACTAATAAAAAAAATAGACTATTTTTTTTTCCTATTGCAACGCACAGACCTTTTTGTTAGTAAGGATAACAATAATACGACGGATCAGGCGAGACGTTGGAATCAAAAAAGCTCGAACGAAGGATCTGGGCACTGGGCCTTTGATGTTATATATGCCCCCACATCAGTCAAACTCCCTACAAGAAGTGGTGACTAGAAAAAGAATTTTTTCGGTACAGTTTTAAATTAAAATATTTACTTAAGAATAGTATTTTGAACAGATAATCAAACAACATTGTTTCTTACTACAAACTATACAGTGATATTGTCATCACTATATATATGTCAAACGCTTCAACCGCTAACTGACACGCGGATTGCTCTATGAATGGCCAAGTTTATGAAATGCAGATGGCGAATCGTTCTATTTCTATGTAAGCCCCCCATGGATTATGTAGAACCTCAATGCTTGGGTATTGACCAAAGAATTCTGTCAATCTCCATGTTCTCCTGAATCCATCCAGATACAATGAAGTAAACATAACACTGGCAAGATAACATCCCAACTAGTGAGGTAACGAATCATGTAGGCACCACAAGTACACACGGTTGAGCGAAGGTGAAACATCTCGAACTCAAAGGATCGTCCAACACACAGAATGATATCAGCCAAGCCCCTCCTGACCTGTGCAATGACGAGGGGCGGCGAATCGATCCATGGTAGGACCTCTGAGTGAAGGCAGCTTCGCCGCGCGCATCATGGAGGCAGTGCCTCTGAGCGCCGACAAAGGAAGTGCAATCCAAGGCCCATTTAGCCCCACGCTGGGTCGGGCATGTAACGTGTCGGACATGCATGCTTCTGGGCTAACAGGCAAAGCATGAACTACCCAATTCCTATTCGGCGCCTTCTGTGCCAGCTAACGTGCATTTCGTTAACTGGCGCCTGAAGGCATTCTGTAAAGGCCGGCCCATATAAGGTTGCAACGCGAGAGAGTTGTTCCTGTTTTTTTTTCTTTAGTTTTTTCTGTACTATTTTTTGTATGGTTTTTCCTTTTCAATTTATTTTCTTTTTTCTTTTTCCTTTTTCTTTATTTTTCATCGTTGCTTTTAGTTTACTTTTCTTTTCAAAATGCATGAACTTTTTAAAAATTCAAAACATTCTTCAAATTCAGGACTTTTCGACATCCATGAACTCTTCCAATTTCTTCAAGTTTGTTAAGGTGGTGAACTTCATTTCCTCACATTCTTTTTGAAATCTCTCAAACTTTTCCCGAATTCGTTCACTTTTTTTTTCAAAACTGATGAACTTGTTCTGAAATTTGGAACTTTATTTTACAAATAAATGACATTTTTCATCCATGAACTCTATTTTAAAAATCCTGCAATCTTTTTTCATATACGTGAACGTTTTATTTTCAAACTCTATGAACTTCTTCTATTTTTTATGTTTTCTTTCAAATTCATGAATTTATTATTATTATTATTGTGAACTTTTTTATTTATGAACTTTCCAAGCCTTGAGCTTTTATCAAATTAATGAACTTTTCTCAAATCTGCGAATTTTTCCAAATTCCCTCAATATTGTTCAATTTTAGGTGCAAAATTTTTTCTAATTTCATGAACTTTTCCAAAAAATATCTTCAAATTTTAAAGTTATTTTATTTCTACAATAGTTTAATTTTAAAAGTCTAGAAAATTTTCAACTCCACGAACTTTTAAAACCTGTCATTTTTTAGAATTCTTGAACATTTTTCAAAATTACATTTTTTAAATATTAATTTTCAACCCGTCAATGCGACCAGTCAACTAGAAACCGAATGACGAGAGAACTGAATAAAACCATGCATGACGAGCGATTGCTCGCCTGTTGGTTGGGCTGGCCCATGAGCGGGGCCGTTTGAGCGTTTGTCGCTCTAGTGGCGCATAAGGCACCGAAGAGGCGCTCTCCAAGACCTATTTCTCCAGCAGTAGTTGCCCATATCATATGTTGGGTCGACCGGCTTTTCCCAAAAACCGACTACAGATAGTTTTTTTTTCAAACTTTACAATATAAAAAATATATGTGAATTATAAAAATATTTCGCAAATAAAAGAATTTCAGTAAAATATTGCAATCTTGAGGGGAAAATCATGCATAATGTTTTTGATAGTGAGTTTAGCTACAAGTCTATCGTTACAGAACGCTACAGGGTTGCACGAGTCCCCTATCTTGCATAGACTGGTGAGAGCGCCGGCGGGGGGCGCTTGTTCCACATTATATTTTTTTGAGGATCCTATATCGCCCGTTGGGATGACCTCTTTTCTCCCCAAAAATTGACTACTGCAAGAATTTAAGAACTTTCTGAAAAAAAATTGGAATTTAAAATTAAAACACAGTCAAAAAATATAGAAAATTTTCCAAAATTTTAAATATCCATAACATTTAGAAGAAAAAGCCAAATTTAATAAAAATGTTGAAGATTTTATTACAAATGTACGCAAATTATAAAAATGTTCATGGATTTTAAAAATATACATGAATTTTCGAAAACGTGGACTTTAAAAATATTCATGAATTGGAATAATGTCTTGGTATTAATAACGAAAAAAGAAAACATAAAAATAAAAGTTTGGCAAAAAGTAGAAATAAAAAAATTAGTTTTGTACCTATATTAGAACAGATTTTACTCGCAGTACCGATTTTTTGTAAGAAAGAAAGCTGTTGCATTTGTGAAAACTGACGGAGCAGGTTCAAAATATAAGCTCGAGGTTTGAAATAACTTAATTATAATGGATCATGTGCAATCAAGAAGTCTGAAACATAAATCATAAACAAAACTACAGGGAGCTGTGCTTTGGGGCTGGAGGCTCTGCAGTCAAAATAAATCATAAATACTTTTTAAGGATATACAGAAAATCCGCCCACCCCCTCCCTCGCGTCGCCCCTCTCGGGCGCCTCGAGGGCGACAATCCTAGATCTCGCCGCCTCCCCCTTCCTCCCCTCCCTCCTCGCCGCCACCAGAGGCATCCGCCGGGCAAGCCCGGGGCGTCGCCAAGGAAGGTGGCGGCGGGGCCTCTGCTGCTCCGTTTCTCCAGCGGGGGGCGTCGGAATCCGGGGCGGTGGCCTCGTTCGGTGAGGCGCCACCGTCTCCTCGGCTGGTGGTGGCGCGGGTGTGGTCCGGTGGGCTGGCTGCGCGGGCAGCAAGCTCCCGACAGACGAGATCCGCGGCACCGATGGTGGGGCTTCTGGCCTCTTCGGCTCCGGATCTGGCCGCCCCTTCCCCCTTCTGCTGCCCTGCGTGCTCCACCGCTTCAGATCTGGTATGGATCGACTTGGTTCTCCGGTGCCTGGAGATGGATGTGGTGTTGGTGGTGTGGAGCCTTGACCGGGAGAAATCCATGGCGGCGACGTCCATAGACGTCGCTCCCCTTCTTGGAGGCGCCATCCAGGTCTTTTGCTCCACCCTCCCCTTCCCCTAGCCTCCCGGGTGAAAGCTCGAACTTTGTTGGGCGGCGACAGTGCCCTTGGCTCCGTTTGCTTCTTGAAGTCGTCGCCTTGGATGCTTTTTGGATTGTGGGCACTGCGGTGTGGTGGTTGTCGGGCGACTGCGACTGTGTGCCCCATGTGGCGGCTGCGGCAGCTTGGCAGGTCCGGCAGTGTTCGGGTTTCTTCTGGTGCTCTCTCTGCAACTGGTGACAGCTTGGTACGACGGCCTCTGGCCAGGAGGGGATCGGGTTCCCCTCCTCCGGCGGCTACAGTTGTGCAAGTTGTGAGTGCCGGAGCGTCATTCCTCGGCCTTGGTCCTGCCTCCTCATTGCTCCGTCCTTCCTGGACACCCTGTTGTTGTCTGACCGGCATCTTTTTCCTCTCCAGAGGATCGTCAGTGGGCAGCGGTGATGCGGTGTTTCTGGTGAAGTTTCTTAGTCATGTAGGGTGTGCTCTGTTCCTACTCCTTCTGGTTGCATCCTTCCGTCCATGTTCTAGGGTGAACACCCCATATGTCGACGGTTCGGCGCCTTTCGAGCCAGGCGAGGAGGCAGGGGACTCTTTTGACAGTGGGAATGGTTGGTGATGTTGTTCCAGGGCTTTGGTGTTTGGTGTTGTCATAGCCTATCCTCGACAGCGGGCGCTTCCCGGAGCCCCATTTCTTCTTCCCTGGTGAGCCTTGGGTGGACGAGGGCCTCTGCGTGCTTCAGCTTATGCTTATCATGTGCTATCTTCTAGCTGTAGTGTGTGAGGTTTTGAGAGTTGCCTTCCAGCACCCTTGTATCTTGTCGTGTTTTGTCTTTTTGTTTTGTTCGAGTTTGTAATGCAGTGGTTGTAATCCTGGCCGGTTGATGGCTTTGTTAATTCAAAGCCGGGCTCTTCTTGAGCCTCCGTTCCAAAAAAAAGAATATACAGAAAGAGTTCTGCAAAATGATGGTTAGTTTCATACGTTCACTGCGGTAACTGAAACAAAGAACGAACTATGTTTCAGACAGAAGACGTTGCCACAAGAAGCTAGTCGTATAAAGGAAATCAGATGTGTTGGCAAAGCGTATAACCATTCTCAGGCCGCGTGTTGTTTATTATTGTCGACTAAGAAGATTACAAACTTATTACAACATTTGCCTCCAAGTTAAACCTAAACAACACGTTTAAACCTGGAGATGACAGGAGATACATTCCAAGATGTTTAACCTAGAGAATGGCATACATTACAAGATGTGAAACCTGGAGATGTAATATCCTTACAGATAACTACACATACAGAAGATATGACGTAGCAAAGGCTTAATAATACATAAAGGCACTGCACACACATCACTAGCAGCAACGGTTGAAGCAATCTCCAGTGTTCAGATCAAGTCCTCAAAGCTCTTGCAGATTTCACAAACCATTCGCCGATCCGACCCCATCTCATCAGGATGGCAGCTGCAAATCCAATGCCAAAGCCCAGCCCGACAAAGAGAAACAAGATGACGTCCACATGGGAGGACTTCTCCCCATGCGCCACACTTCGAGGAGCGGGTGCAATGTCGCATGGGTTGGACAGTGGCGGTCCACACAGACCCAGATTCCCTTCAAATGAACTGTTTTGGAACGTCCCAAAAAACTGACCTGACCGAGGTATCCTTCCCACCAACTGGTTGTTGGACAAGTTCAAGAAACCAAGAAAGGTGAGATTTGTTAGCGCCTCTGGAATATCACCAGAAAGCTGGTTCTGGGACAGGTCTAGTGCTTCTAGCTGACTCATCCTGCCTAATTCCCGCGGAATATCACCGGTGAAGGCATTGCCTGACATGTTTAGTGCAAGTAGTGAAACAAGTCTCCCAAGTGATTCAGGAATGGTTCCCTCAAATGAATTATTTGAAAGGTCAATTACGGTCAAAGTAGTCAGGATCTTAACAAATGACCTATAGGTGCTTTTATATGTTATCGCCACAGTATCTTGATAGAATGTCAGTGTCCCATTGTCAGCTATGACAATTTCACCTGTGGTATTGGACTCTGCCATCATTGATTTCAACCCCTCAAACCATTTTGGACTCAATTTGCCAGAAAATTTGTTCAAGGCAAGATCAAGAATCTGCAAGCTAGAGAAGTATTCTCCATATTTGTAATCTCTGTGAAGATCACCACCCATCGAGCCATAGAATTGGTTGGATCTCAAGACAAGGACCCGAAGTTCGGGAAGCTTCCCAAGCCATGATGGAAAAGTATCAGCCATGTGGTTATTTCCACAGTCAAGGAACTCCAGCTGCAAACACTTGGTAAGTGTCCTTGGAAGCTGCCCTACAATCTTATTGTTGTTCAAGTCTAATGTAAGAAGCTGGCATTGGTCTTTGATGTTGTTAGGCAACACACCTTCAAATTGATTCTCACGCAAAATCAACGCGCTCATGTAACCATCTTCTATTAGACAGGGTGGTATCCACCCACTGAAGTAGTTAAATGATAGGTCAAGGAGGCTGATACTGGAATCACAAACTGAGTTAGGTATATGCCCACTAATATTGTTTTTAGAAATTCTGAACTCATTCCCAAGATAGAGAGTGAAGTTTGGAAGAATTGAAGAGAAACTGTTGTTTGAATAACGTAAGATAGCTGCAGGGGGGCTTGGCATAGGAATCTGCCCCTGAAGCTGATTGGAGCTGAGATCAAGAACTTCCAACCGATCAAAAGGGAGAACATATGAATTAAGTTGCATACTGTTGAGCATGTTGTGTGAAAGATTCAAATATGCAAGGCTACTACTCCATGTCGCCCATATCCACTTTGGAATAGCCCCACTGATTCTATTGCATGACAGGTCCAAGTAAGACATTTGGTTAAGGTGTGCCAATGAACTTGGGAATCTTGTTAAACTGCAACCTGCTAATTCTAACCAAGTAACTGGAGGGATATAGGTAGATGGGGAGTTGTTACCTTCTCCAACCATGTCCATGACTGACAGATTGTTATTGGAAAGGCCCAAGTGAGCGAGATTTCGTAACCTCCAAAATGAAGAAAGATCTACCAAACCCACTAAGTTATTCCAACCAATATCAAGATATGCCAAACTTGTGAGTTGAAAGAACGACTTGGGAATATTTCCTGTCAATTTATTTACTCTTAGGTCCACTGACACCAAGTGTGAAGATGTTGCGTCGAATTCTTGTACAGAGCCAGAGAGCTGGTTGAAGCTAATATCTAAGCGTTGCAATGTTGGAATAGTGAAAACAGATGTTGGAATTTCCCCTGCAGAAAGAGTAAAGACGTTACATACTCTGGCATACCAATTTGACTAACATATAATATATACTTATAGTAAATAGTTAACTAGAACTTTGTTCCTGCGAAGTGTACCACTATGCATACATACATGGTTTAAAAAAACTTTAGTTCAAGAGAATAATACAGACAAATGGCAGAACCCCGATTGCTCTTGTAATTTTAGGGATGGTGTTGCTGCGCTTAGCGCCTATGTATCCCGCCTTGGATGTGTGCGTGTGTTGTCTTGGAATGCGTTTGTACTTGGGTTGTGGTTGATCTTTGCTTTATATATAAAGCGGGGCGAAAGCCTTTTTCGGTAACAGTCCGTGAAAAGAAGAGTGAATGTTTATCTTGAATGTTTAGAGTATTGCTAATGAGTGCGAGTTTATTTTTTAAGATTTGGATGAATGTTTTTTCTACAACATTGCATCTTTCTACTCCAATGCAATTTTATGATGTAGCAAGGAGGTAACTGCAGTAGAAAGTTGGAGAGATGCAGTAGAATCTAGCATGAACGTATGGAAAAAGGTGCAGCGGAAAGAAGTCAAGTGCAACAGAAAAATGAAGTAGAAGGAAGCTTAGAGGGTGTTTACCAGTTAGAAACTGGTAAACATTTACTGGCAAGTCAAGCCCAATATTTGTTAGACATATGCCGAAGACATGTACGTGAGCCCCAATAACAAAGAAACCAGACTTAAATGATCCTGTATTAAGAGCTAAATCTAGGCCCTAGCTAAATTAGCTAAAGGGATGAAACATAATTATTACGGGGAACCCGCATGGTCCAACAATCTTTTATATATTTTTCTAGTAGTAATTCTAGGTACTATTGCATGTAATGTAGGTTTAGCGGTTCTCGAGCCATCAATGATTGGTGAGCCGGCAGATCCGTTTGCAACTCCTCTGGAAATATTACCCGAGTGGTACTTCTTCCCGGTGTTTCAAATACATGTCAAGTGAACTAAAACTCACCTATTTTCTTCAAAATGTACTAATCTCTTTGTAACTTTTTGTGTGTCTGTGTATGTGCTTTAGGATTATGCCACTGTTACCAGTGAAGGGCACAACAGGACTACAAACCACAATAAATCTTGTGTCTCACACTATCGTTGTCTTTTCTTTGTCTCCCAAGGAAATGTACAATCCACACGCAAAAACAAAATATTATCAACATCATTTGTGTCAAGTCAAACTTTGAAAGTTTGACTAAATTTATATTAAAAAGAGTTATTTAACACGCTCCCTCCTACCCCCACTTTTCACATGGAAGGTAAGAAGGTAGGAATTAATTAGATCACTACTTAATCAAATCAATGGCTCAGATCTATTATGTACTTTTACCTCTCATGTAAAAAGGGGAGGTAAGAGGGACCATCCTAAAATTTGCCTAAAAAATATCAACAACTATATCAAATATATATATACTATGAAACTACATTTCGTAATGAACCTAACAATGTTGATTTAGCATTATGAATGTTGATATTTTTTTCTATAAGTTTGGTCAAAGTAGTGATACTTTGCCTTCGGACAAAACTTATATGTAGACTAAAAATGACCATAGGGAGTACACTCTAGCGACAGCTCATATAGAAAATAGTAATATATAACTGAGCTTTGGCAGAGTATTGTGCACCTTGGGCCTCCAACAATTTCAAATAAATGTGTCAGCCATTGTACAATTACTAGGAGCACATTTGCTGATCTCACCGATAAATAGTTATGTTACCACACACACTCAATGTCATTCAGTGTTCACCTATGGATGCCACAAGAGGAAACATCACATACAATGAGTGATCTCCTTAAGTGTTATCGCTAGTACTTATTAATGTTCATTCACTCTTCATAACACTGAGCACATGAAGGCATCAACACTTCATCGAGGGAAGGCTCTATTCTCTCACTTAATCATCTCTCTTCCATGTCATCAAAAAGTCTAGAACACTACACCAAATGAGCAAAGAGATTGAACCTCGGGACATGCTGCCTACACTAAACGAAGTAGGGCGCTAGTATGAGAAGGTGGCCCTTATCAATCAGGAGCAACGGCATCCAAGATTCGAAACACATCCCATGAGCAAAGAGATTGAACCTCGGGACATGCTGCCTACACTATAACAACCTGAGAGGATTTAATTTATGAAACATACCAAGCAATTTTTACATATTATGGTAAATGTAAGATCTGACAATAATACTCATAGATCTCAAGGTTGTATTTATGATAGACATAGTCTGTGCACTCAAAACTTACTTTAGTGCATTTTCCAAAAAATATATCATTATTTCACCACAACTTTTTTTGCTAGCCTCCCTTATAATTTTCTCAAGCCGCCACTTGACTAACATAGGAATTAAGTTGCAAAACCAAGAGAACACAAATAAATGACTATACAACCCCTCTTCAAAATAACATGGAAATATGATGGAGAACAAGTTCCTTGCAAAATAATGAAACTAAGGGCAAACAGCAGGAGTCTAATTGAATTTCAGGTCTTATATTTTGAAACAAGACTACAACATATAGTCCTATATGACTTGGTTTTTAAAGAATGGTGTTTCCGCGCTGAATTCCTATCTCACAATGGACACAGAAATTATCTTATCAGAAGTGCAAAGGGAATGCCTCCTCTAGCTATTCTTGATTCTATATAATTGATCGAAAGATTACCATCATACCTTTACTGGATGCATGCTTATTATTGTTCAGTCAAATTTACTTGTCTCCTAAAGCAATGGCGAATAGTCAAGTAACCAATGAACATTAAACTCGGAAAATAAAGCATACATTTACTAAGGAATATGCAGTGTCATTAAGTATTGTGGTTGCGAATCTTGCGATATATATGGAAAGATGGTGTGTATTTTAGTACTAGAAACTGTAGGATCTTTTTTGTAGAATAAAATTAAAAAAACATGTTCTCAAGTAATCATTATAAGAATATAGAAAATAGTCTTACCACTAAGAAGATTAAATGAAAGATCTAACTCAATTAGGCGAGTCAAATTAAATATTGAATCCGGTATGCTTCCAGAAAAGCTAGACTCTTGAAGCCGTAGTGATGTCAATTTCTTGAGTAGTCCAACTGCATAGGGTATTGGCCCAGAAAACCCAGAATTGCTCATCTCCAAAACCTCCAAATTACTAAGATTGCATATTGCAGGTGGCATTGGCCCAGAAAACTCAGAAGTAGAAATTGCCAAACTTATCAAGCTACTAAGGTTGCCAATTGAAGATGGTATTGGACCTAATAAACCATGAGCATTAATTTCCAAGCTTTTCAAGCTTCTGAGGTTGCCAATTGCAGATGGTATTGGCCCTAAGAAATCATAATCAGTTATTTCCAAGCTTTCCAAGTCTGCGAGGTTGCCAATTGCAGATGGCATTGGACCATTCAATTCGCACTGATGAATCACCAAGCTTCTCAAATTTACTAGATTACCAATTGCCGGCAGTGATGGCTTGGTGAAACTGCAGTAATACATTGACAGGCTTCTCAAGTTCTTGAGTTTGGCTACTGAAGAAAAAGATTTCCAAGAGAAGTTCCATCCTCTCAGTTCTAAGCTTGCCAAGTTTTGCAGGTCTCCGATCCATGACAAAATTAGCCCCAAATCTTTTGTTGAGTCCATCTGGGTGAGTTCCAAATGTCGTAAAGACGTGTGAATACCGAGTGAAGATTGATGCTCCATAAAAGCAAAATCCACATCAAGGCTTAACGCTTGCAAAGACTTGAAATTGCTAAAAGAGCCTGGTTTTCCGAAGGAGAAATTGGTCACGTCTAGCATCATTGTCTCTAAAGAACTTGTGTTGGAGAAGTTGGGCATGTGCCCTGAGAGATTCTCGTTAAAGGATAAATCAAGAACCCGTAGTGTTCTCGATTGGAAGGTTCTACGAGGAAACCAACCTTGGAGATTTGTCCCAGCAAGTTGGAGCACACTTAAATTGAGAAAATCCATGAACAACACTGGAAAAGGAGCAGGTATATCAAAGTTCCCTTCAAGATTGATCATGGTTAGAGAGTGGAGGGCTGAGAGGGATGGACAGATAGGGCCGCTGAGGCCACAAAAACTCAAGCTAAGAACTCGGAGATGGGGAAGAGATTTAGCAAGAGCATGGCACCAGTCTCTGCTGCTAGACATATCCACTTCATCAAGGTAGAGCTCTCTCAGACTGCTGAGGTTAGCCACTAAGATCTCAAAGTTCAGTACCTCCAGCTCGGTCTGAAAAAAATCATGGGTTTTTGTAACATGGCTACAAAAAGAATCCTCGGAACAGGAACCATAGTTATTAGAAAGATCCAAGGAGATAAGGTTGGCAAGTTTGCCGATGCCAGTAGGTATTTGGCCAACGAAGCCTGAATAGGAGAGGTTGAGGTGGGTGAGCGAAGCGAGCCTCTCAAACCCATTTGCCGGGAGACTGTACGGGCCAAAATTGTTCATGCTAAGGTCAAGTACTTGGAGCGAGGTGAGGTCGAAGATTGCAGGGTCAAGGCCCTGACTACACGAGCCACACCCACCGAGTTCCAAAGCAGTGACACGGCCCGAGGAATTGCTGCAGCCGACACCTTCCCAAAGACAACAGTCGGTACCATCCTGCCATGACTCAAGGGGGTTGGGGTAACGGAGGAATGAGAAGGATTTCTTTAGTTGGAGGAGGGTTGCAGCCTGGTCTGGATGGCATCGGAGAGTGAGTTTACCGTCACCGTGGGAGTTGGAGGGGGTGGCGAGTGCTGCGAGCACCACAAGAAAGGCTGGTAGTACCCGGCAAATCAAAGCCATTGGTCCCAAACAAAGCAAATCAATTGTTTGTTTTCTTTCTTAGAGGAAAGGCAGGATCGCTGCAAGGCCTTTTATAGAGGGATTGTTCAGAGCCAAAATAAAAAACAAGAGGTTCAGAAATAAGGTGGCGACGGATTTATCAGGAGTTATTTAATTCAAGCTTAAAGCGGGTCTTCCCTGAAGTCGTCCAATGGATGGAATGGGATAGGGAGGAAAAGTTGTAATGACGTGTGAGACGGGTTGCGCGTAATGGTTACCCTTGTAGATTTTTCGCTTGGACAGTTGCCATACGTGCCACCAGACATACACACCAGCTAGTGAATTTTCGTAATGGTTATTGCAAAATTTATTGTAGCGAAATTGTGCGAAGGAGGAAGGAACTCAGTTCACTGTCCAAGAGGCACTGGATTGTGATTTGTGAGTAGTACACATGCTATAAATATCATTGATTGATAAGTACACATGCTACTTGTCATGTCCTATTTACGACGTGTGCCACGGGCATCACATTATGCCGAATAGTCACCCTTGGGATCCGATCAAAATTGTGTGTGTGTTTTGGATGGGTTCTACAGTACACATAATTATAGACTTCTCTTGAGACGCTATGTAGAAAGACACATTCAGTCATTCAGATAAAATCAGATCTGCAAAACTGCTACTTGTCCTTCAATTCGTCTACCAGTCAAAGAATGCAGCAAACAGAACAGATAAGCGACCGAGCGATTACGAAACATATAATCCGGGATTATAAATGGAATGAGGGAGCACACATTTATAAGGTGAACAGTACGTACTGACCTGAGCACAAGAAGCTAGAAACTGTGAAACCACGGGGGCAGATAAGTAACAGAAACAAACCAATCGGCGACTGGGCGGCCTGACTGGGACGGCGAGTCGGTCCATGGCTCAACTCCCCGGCGGTGCAGGCACCACCGTCAGCCGCGGGACGCCGCACGCTACCTCCCAGCACCACCTGACGCGCAACGCCGCCGTCACGAAGCAACGGCCTCCACACTGACGTGGTTCACCTGACCTCTGGTGAAGAGGTTGGACTTCTTTCCAGAACTTTCATTATCGTTTCCATTCTTGGCTTGAGAACATTCAGTGGCGTAGTGTCCAGTCTTCCCGCACTTGAAACAAGTAATGTGACTCAAATCCTTCTTGACGGGTGTCGCGGGGTTGGAACGTTTCTGACTGTTGCTTCCTCCATTCCCATTGCCATTCTTAGGGCCACTGTGGTCGTGTGAACTTTCTCCATTGTGCGTATGTCCTCCATGGTTATGGCCTCCATGGTTATGAGTATGTCCTCCCGAGTATGGGGAATAGCGGGGCTTCTGCCGAGCTTCAGAAGTGTACCTCCCCTGTCCATACTTCCTCTTGCGATTTTTAATTTGTTGTTGCTTGCTTTCTATCATGAGGGCCCTGTCTACCAACTCCTGTTAGTTGTTGAAAGTTGCCACCATCAACTGCATGCTTAGCTCATCATTGAGTCCCTCAAGAAACTTCTCCTGCTTCGCGGCATCCGTGGCCACATCATCCGGGGCATAGTGTGCTAACTTGCTGAATTCATCCACATACTGTCCCACTACACGACTCCCTTGGCGCAAGTTGCGAAACTCACACTTCTCCGTACTCATAGCTCCAGCTGAAACATGTGCGGTGCGGAATGCCTGCTGAAACTGATCCCATGTAACTGTAGCAATGGGATAAGTGGTGGTGAAATTCTCCCACCAAGATGCTGCGGGTCCATCAAGCTGATGCGCGGCAAAGCGCACTCTCTCCGCATTTGTGCATCCTGCAGTGGTCAGCTCTCTCTCAATCTTGCAGAGCCAATCATCTGCAACAATTGGCTCGGTGCTGCTGGAGAACATCGGCGGATTCAACCTCAGAAAATGGGCTAGGTTGTCAACAGGAGGTGGTGGCGGTGGGTTGTTGTTGTTGTTTTTGCCTTGGTTCTGATTCTGATTCCGGACTAACATTTGCATTAAGGCATTCTGCTGATGGATCAGCTGAGTGAGCTCCGGTGGGAACACGAATGCGGTGTCACGTCTCGGAGGCATCTGATGGGTTAGATGAGTGAGAAAATAGAATAGAATAAGGTCTAAGAGAGATTTCACTACCCATATGCACATGAGGCAAATGCAATCGATTCACTTCATTCAATATCAAACAAGATTCACACAAACGATCTAAACTCCGATTAAAAATCGATCAGTGCTAACTACTGGGAAGAATACTACTAGTAACATGGTGGTCGTCTAGAAATTTTGATCGCTGAAAGACTCCATAATATCTACTCTAGCTTCGTCTACGTATTCGTCATCACTGTCATCATTTGCATCACTGTCTATGTCCAAAATGATGTAGTCCTCACTCATTTTGCTCCATATATAGTCCAGATTTGAATCTCTAAAAATACTAATATTTAGGAACGGAGGGAGTAGAGATTATTTTATCAGAAGTGTGAAGGGAGTGCCACCTCTAGGTAATCTTGATTCGGTATTATTCTTCGGAAGATTACCATCTGGATGCATGATTCGGAATAGATTAATTGCAGGGGCAGCAGCTTGCTGCCGTAACTATAAATATCGTTGATTGATACAGGCTCCGGCAAACGAGCACGAGACTAGTCATATCCCTATTGAAGTACGTGTGTCACAGGCATCAGATTATGCAGAATAGTCACCATTGGGTGTGTGTTGGATGGGTTCTGCATAATTGGGACTCTGCTCTATCTCTATGTAGACACATTCAGTCATTCAGATAGCATCAAATCCGTGAAATTGCTACTTATACTTCGGCGACGCAACGCGCAACGCCGCCGTCGCGAAGCAACGGCCTCGCCTAGGACGGAAGCTCAGATAGCGAGTGCGCTGAGCTGCATGTGGCGAAGCAGCTGGCGGCTCGGGAGACGGTAGTGAGGATCTGCCCCGCCGCACCGCAGCAAGGCTGAGCGGCGTCAGAGCTCAGAACAGCACACGCACCGTGCCGCAGGGAGGCCGAGGAGGCCCAGCCAATGGGGCCTTTACTACCCAACGGGGTAATAGTGGTCACTGGGCTGTAAGTAGCTCACCAGTTCACAACTCTCTTTTTTTAGGATATGTCAAACCATCTAGGCCAAACAACATCAAAAATCACTAATTAAGTATTACTCCTTCCAAAGATCACTCCGCCTTCCCCAGATAGGTTATGGCAAATGGCGCACTGTGCACAATTTGATTATTTATTTAAAAAATAAACAAGCATTTGAAAAAATGTTAAACCAGTGTTTGAAAAATGTTAAGCAAACGTTTCGAAAATGTTAAATGTTGATAGAGAAAATGTTGACCATATATTACAAAGATGATGAAACAAATTTGCTCACGTATATAAAAATGTTAGTCAAGCATTTGAAAAAGTACTTGAAAAATGTTAAATATATATAGAAAAAATGGTGACCATGTAACAAAAACAATGATGATTCTCTTTTATCATATATATATATATATATATATGTTAATCAAGCATTTTGAAAAGTGTTCAACTAGTATTTGAAAAAAGTTAAATGTTTTTAGAAATTTTTTTGACCATGTGTTATAAAAATGTTAATGTTGCATTTAAAAAATGTAAAAATGTGCATACAAAAAATGTTGACCATGTATTAGAAAATGTTAATCAAGGATTTGAAAATTATTATAAGTGTGCATAGGAAAACTGTTGACCATGTATTCAAAATATGGTAATTGTGTATTTTGAAAATGTTAATCAAGCATTGATTTTTTTTAAATGTGTATAGAAAAATGTTGACCATGTATTAGAAAATTTTAAATTCGTACTGAAAAAGGTTAAACGTGTAATAGAAAAATGTTGTTGACATATAAAAAATGTAGAATGAAAAGCAAAAGAAACAAAGAAAACCAAAATAATGAAAGTGAAAAAGAAACAAAATAAACCAAAAGAACAAATAAAATGAAAAATAAAACCGAAGAAACAAATGAAAAAGAATGATAAAAATAGACAAGAAAAAAACGAAAATAAAAATAAAAGCACCTGAAGAAAATTGAATAAAACAGAAGAAAATGGTGAAAGAAAAGATGAAAAAACGAAAAAAGGAAACCATTGAAAACCAGAAGATAGCTAACCTAGTTGGTAGACGCGTTGTGTTATCCCGGGGGTCCCATGATCGAAAACCGGAATATTTTTTTTACTCTTGTGGCGTGCCCCTGTTGTTTGTAACGAAATGATAGCTAACCTAGTTGGTAGACGCGTTGTGTTATCCCGGAGGTCCCATGATCGAATCCTGAGGGTTCGAGACTCGAGAAACAGGGAAGAAGAGCAGGCCGAACGGGCGGTACGACCTTTTGGGTACTGGGATCTTTAAGCCCCACATCAAAATCCCTAAAGTATTCTAAAAAATATATATCAAAATCCATAAAGAGGTGAGCTTAGTTGAGTTTTTGGGTACCATAAACAAAGGTTTGATTTTCTCGATACAATTTCAAACTAAAGTACTCCCTCTGATCCAAAATAAGCGTCGCAATTTTAAACTAAGGTTAGTTCAAACAAGGCATTTTATGGATCAGAGGGAGTGTGAAATATGCCCATGGGCTAGCACGAGCCACCCTTAAACGGGCCAGGAACGACATGACACTAGAGGCATGAGCTAAACAGGCCTCGCCTTAAGGCCTAGGCACGACACATGGTCTAAACGGCTGGCAAGTGTGCCACCGGTCCGCTTGCTTTTGGGCCAATTCGGGCTATTTTGAGGCTTTTGGGCTATTTCTGGGTCAACGTATCAAAAATATTTCACACGTGCCCCACCTTGAGGCCCAAGCACGACCCCAGGCATGTCGCGGGCCAGACATGGTAACCTGTGCTGGGTCGGGCATGTAACGTGCTGGACACGCATGCTTCTGGGTCGAAAGGCAAAGCATGACTTGCTAGGCCAGCTATGGTTGCCCATATATTATGTTGGGCCGACCATTTTTGTTTTCAAGAACCGACTCCAGCAAGACTTTTAAAAAGTTTACAAAATAAAAAAATCTGAATTTTTAAAAAGAGTTTTGAAATGAAAAAATGTTCAATAAAATATTTTGAACTTGTTGGAAAATATGAAAAAAGAAAACCACTAGGCATTTTTAACGGTCAAGGGGGAGGGGGGACTTTCCCCACCAAAATATATTACCACTCAAACCATTGTAGCACCATATTACATGAGAGAGACAAGATGTTAGATACAACCGCCAGGATCAGGTAGCGTCCCTTTTGTCTAGGTCTTTGAATCTAAAAGTCTAGAGGGAAAAATCATGCATAATGTTTTTGATCTTGCTGATCTTGTTTGATCCGTTTGGTTTGGATCCTGGGCACACAATCATACGGACTAGGCTAGCTTTCCTTTGGATGTGAAAATATTGTCAAGTTTATCCATCTCTTACATCTTTGACTTCTCTTCATCCATCTAGTAAAGAAACTGCAAAAGACCAACACTGCACAACCTGGGCTAACATCAAAGGTTTCAAAGAGACACATGAGACGCCCACCCAGCAGATGAGAACCTAAAATCGTTGAACACATTGTGGCCAGGGACACACCCAAGACAAATTGTCGAACTGCTGCTTTGTTTCCATAATGTCGGGGGAGAAGACTAGGAGCACAAAAGAACGATTCAACATACCCAGTGACAAGAGCATGCTTGACAATACTATTGCCGCCACCACGATCAAGATAGGTCGAAGCACTGAATAAATATCCACAAGGGGACCATTGATATGCGAGACCAAAACACTACAAACTCCCGTGTGTAGGTCGCATCCTCCATAACAACCATACCAGGACGGGGAAAGAACCATGCGACTTTATTCTGTACGACACCATCTCAACCATCAAGATTTTGCCGCCAAAACACAAGAATTAAACATAGATGAAAACTAAATTGAACTCTGAACGTTGATCTATAGTTACCACCGCCTCTAGAAGCCGAAAACGATAACGAATGCGAGGGGAAATAGCAGGAATTACAAACCTAGTCACTGACGCTAGGGAGCTCCTATTCGATGCTTTAGGGAGCTAGTTTTAGGGAGCTCCTATTCGATGCTTCAGACGCCCAATTGTCGCTGTATCACACTGGTTCGCTATAAAGTCCATTCAGTCGGTCGGTCTGGTTCACTCGCTCATCTGTCGATCTGGCGCTCATTTGTTTTCTGACCAGGTTTGGCTGCTATTGCTATGTTGCCTTCGTGAAATATAAAAAAATCAAGTATTTAAAAAAATACTCATGAGTTTAAAAAAATTCGTGAATCCAAAAAATCCCAGTGAACATAATTTTTGATAGGTTTTAGAAATTTGTGGATTGAAAATGTTCATGACTTTCAAAAAATGCTGCAATTTTTTTAAAAACTAATGTTTTAACATGAAAAATTAAAGAGGAAACAAAAAAAGAAAAAGGAAAAAAAGAAGGAAAAACCAGAAAGAACAGGAAGAAAAACATAGAACAGAAAAGGAAAACCGCACGCACAACATTCTAGAATCTTTAAAATATCAGGTGGGGAGTTCGACCGTACCCTCCGACACGGGCCAGACCACTACCTAAATCTGTTTGCTGTGGGTGTGTGCGCCTCCACGCTTATAGCGCCAAACAAGATTTACTATAATTTTCTGCCAAGAAAAAATTGAGTGCACCAGGTGCGTGCTAAATTTCGTGGATAAATGACATTCGAGGAGTTCGAGGCAAAAAAGACAAAATGAGCTCCAAACAGTGCATTTTTTAAAACTTTCATACATGCCTGATTTTTTTCTGAGAGCTACTCAAATGTCCAAACGCCGCCAAAAATTGGCATGTGCATCACACATTCAAGCATCTTGCATGTTCAAAAAATTCGGATTCATTTTTTTTAAAATTTTACTGTTCATCATCCACTAGAGCACCAGGACCCGAGAGCCAAATCGCCGCATCTGAATCATCAAGCCTTTTCTAAATTAACGAGTTACCATGGTGATTCGAAATAGCCTCTAATTAGTATAAATAAAATGTTACCACTAATATTTGCATATGAGAAAGGCATGTTGTTAAACAGAGGGAGAACGAGTGTGTTTGAACAACGCTGAATTCTATGGATATATATCGTCGTAGTTGGCGTGCCCACGTCAAATATACTAGGATTCCTTGATGTCACGGATGGAGACTTGTGTGTCCAGTGGCAGAGGCCAATTTGAGGAAGCAAGCAGCTTGTGCACTCATCACGACCAAACTGATCGAAAAGCCGAGCTTCCCTATCGCTTTCCGCGTCAACAATCAACTCCATCGCCATGGAGGTCGCCATTTCTGCGGTTACAAGTGAGCTTGCGAGCCGGTTCATCTCCTTCCTGATGAACAAGTATCAGTCCCATAGCCACACACAATTAGAGGAGGAGAACCTGGTGGAGAAGCTGCAACATCTCCTGATTAGAGCTCGCACCGTCATCGAGGAGGCGGATCGACGATGCATCTCCAGCTCCGGGATGCTGACGCAGCTCAAGATGCTCACAGAGGCCATGTACCGAGGCCATCATGTGCTGGACGCCTTCAATTTCCAACAACTACTTGACAGCGGTACCATCGACGAGGTTAGCGACTCATCCAGCGTCTCATATTTATCCTTCCCTTTCAAGCGTCCTCGAAGAACCGAGTTTAGAGGGAAGGGCAGATCCATTCACCTGGAGTTACACGGTGCCTTGAGAAGCTTAGAGATTGTTGTGGCAAACATGGCAGAATTTGTTGTGCTTCTGGGCGGATGTGAACGGATATCTCGCAGGCCTTATGATGCCTACCTTTACACGGACCACTTCATGTTTGGCCGACACGTAGAGAAGCAGCACCTCTTGAGCTTCTTACTGCAACATGACCCTCCCGGTGATTCTCCGGCCGTGCTACCGATCATTGGTGGCGTCGCAGTCGGAAAGAAAACGCTGGTTGCTCATGCCTGCGACAACGAGACGGTCCGCTCGCATTTCGCTTCAATTTTGCACTTGAATGGAGATAGTCTCCTGAGAATCATTGAGCATGGAAGGACCATGTCAGGGAGTAGATTTTTGGTGGTTGTTGAGTTTGTTTCAGATGTAGATGAGGAGGACTGGACAAAGTTTTACTCCTTTGTAAAAAGAATGGGCAAGGGAAGCAGGGTGATCATCATAAGTAAGCTTCAAAGGCTAGCCAGATTTGGAACAGTGAAGCCAATTTATCTCAGTAACCTCTCCTATGAGGAGTTTTGGTACCTCTTCAAGACACTCACGTTTGGCAGTGCAGACCCGTCAGAGCACCCGCAGCTAGGGCGAATCGCGGAAGAATTTGTAAGATCTTTCAGCCAGGAGGGTCACTCGTCACGACAAATGCGTTCGTGGATGTGTTGAGAAGGAATCTCGATGTTCAGTTCTGGCTTTGCGTGTTGGGCAAAACAAGACGAGTGATTCAGAAGAACCTATCCGAGCATGGTGTATATCCATATCTGCTGTTTGAACAAGGTCATCCGGTGGACATAACCGACTTTGCTTTGCATCCGTCGTCTGCGGTTCGCATCGCAAACTGTACTGATACCGGCAACAGATTGACTAATAATATTCCGATGAAGAAGGAAACCGTGACACTTGGAGAACTGTTGGTAAACCCAAATAACAGACCAAAAGGGGAGTTCAGTCTGTTGTCATGGGAATCAAGGATACCCCCTTACACAAGGTTTGAGCACTTTGTTGCAAGTTCTGTTCAAAATCTACCTGAAAGTGCTAACTTGTCCGGGAGGAAGAAACGTCGAGTGCCTATCTGATCTTATATACTTTAACATTTTGCTTCCACTTTAGATAGTGATCATACTGATCTTGTAATATGACGCTTGTACAGTGTAACCACCTTCCTGCTTTTAAGATATATTGAATAGAAAGGTGCTAAAATGACTCAAGGGGCATTTGTGGCGTTTGGCTACCTGTATTTCAGTTCTGTTTTCCGGTTCCTGTTTACTCGCCCTCTTCTTCGATTTGTTTCTTTTCCTACTATCGATAAATACATGCTGCTCTCATACTTTGTTCCAAACTAGTCACAAGGCATTTATTTCTTTGAGAAGAAAGAATTTCATTTCACCCGGACTTTGCATCTAGACAATGGGCCCAACCATAACTTATTTCAAGTATTTTCTTGAGGAAATAATTTATTAAAGTAGAGTACATGAAATGAAAAAAAATGAGTAAAATCCATGAATTTTAAAATGTGCGTGAGTTATGGGGAAGCGGTGAGAGCAGGGCAAGTTCCCTGAGGGGACGGGAGAGAGGAGCAGCACAGCCACACCGCAGCAACCCTGAGATGTCGGTGTGGAGCGCAGAGCAGGAGAAGCGCCAGGCCACATCGGACTGCCTTGTCCCAAGTATACAGAAAACTGTTTTTTTTTTCACCCGGTTTTTCTTCTTCCTTGTTTGTCTCTGTCAGTTTAAACAATTTTTATTTTTTATTTTATCTCTTTTATTTACATTTCATTTTTTGTTTCTTTATTTAACAGTCTAGATTTTTTCTAAGATTTGTGAACATTTTAAAATTCCATAATATTTTTCAAATTTTGTAATATTTTATAAGTATTACTTATACCTAAATTACAAGAAAAAAATCAATAAGATTATAGTTATAGAGAATATTTAATCTCATGGACATTTTTTAAAATTTGAACATTTTAAAACTCATTAACAATTTTAAAATCCTGCTCATATTTTACAATTCCTGAATATTTAAAACTGAGAAATATTTTTAAAATCGACTAACATCCAATTTTTTAAATTTTTGAAAATTTAATTATCGTTACTTCAAATTATTTTACATTTTTTCAAATTTAACTTCTCTAATGCCTTATTAAATCTCTAGAAAACAAATTCTAGAATACTTTTGAGAATTCATGAATATTTTTAAAATTCTAAAAATATTCTTAAAATTTCATAAATATTAATAAATTGTGTAATAATTTTGGAAATTCACAATATACATTTGTAAAAATTTGTGAGTTTCCAAAATATTGTTTAACATTCATAAATTCACAAATATATTTTTTTGTTTGCAAACCTTTTTTACATACGTGAACAATTTTTTAAACAATTCATGAACTTTTAACTCGCCCGGGAGGAAGGAAAGCCGAGTGCCTATCTGATCTTATATGCTATTATAACATTTGCTTACGGATCTTACGGATCTTGTAATATGACGCTTGTGCAGTGTAACCACCTTCCTGCTTTACTGATAGATTGAATAGAAAGGTGCTAAAATGACTCAAGGGGCATTTGTGTCGTTTGGCTACCTGTATTTCAGTTCTCTTTTACGGTTCCTGTTTAGTCGCCCTCTTCTTCCATTTGTTTCTTTCCATACCACTAGCAATAAATACAGTTTACATGTTCTCATACTTTGTTCCAAACTAGTCGCAAGTCATTTCTTTCTTCGAGAAGAATGAATTTCATTTCACCAGGACCTTGCAGCCGCCGCCTCCACCACCACCCCTCGCCACTTCCCTTGCGGTAGACATAGCCGGGCAAAGCCCGCCGGCGGCCGGATCTGTTTCCTCGCGCTTAGGCCTCTGCTTGCCAGCCCTCTCCCCCCTGCACGCCCCGCGCCGCGCGCTAGATCTCGTGGTGGTGGTGGGCTGCGTCAGGGGCTAGCGCCCACCGTCCGACTATCATAACAATACTCACAACACATATTTTAAGAGCGAGGGAGTAGATATCAGGTCTCAGTAAGAAAACACAGACGATGCTTAGCATAGCTGCTACCATAAGAGCATCTACAACCAAGCGCCTCAAACCCCTCTCAAACAGCCAGATGGCCGGAACGGTAAACAAAAACCAACCGACCCAGGCGCCTCAATACTGTCCTGAAACGCCTGGGCTGTCTGACACCCCTCATATCCAACCCTAATGTAGGGCTGATATGAAGCGGCTCGGGCGCGTCCGTCACGTTAGCCCGGCTCAGCACCGACCTCACATATATCCACAGTCCGATCAGTCCACTCCACTTTCTCCGTCCACTCATCTTCCCAATCCGTCGCCTCTCCTAATCTAATCCATGGCGGATGACCGTAGCAGCTCCAGCTTCTGCGGCGGTGAAAGCGACATCGACACGGTCACATCGCATTGAGCCGGTTCGGGCTAGATCACGTCTGCAACTCGCGGAGCGACGCCCCGTCCACCTTCTCCCGCCGTTGCAGTGCAGGCGATGTTGTCAGGCCCTCCCGTTCGGCATGCAACACCGGCGCCACCCACTCTGCTTTAGTCCAAGTACCCCCACCCCACCCGCCACTACTCATCCATCTCCGGAGGGCATCCACGGCATGGTTGGGTGCTCGTGCCCATGCAAGCGCCGGGCCGGTCGAGGACACCTGCGTCAGAGGTACGAGCGGCAAGGGGCGAGAGAGAGGTTGGTGACAATCAACATGTCGGCGAGGCGTCGGGCAATCTAATTTAAAATTGCCCGTCGTTTCGTGTGGATATGTGAACTTTTTCAAAGTTTTGAAGATCCGTTGGTGATCTTTTCGTGACGGGCGTTTGAAAGGCCAAATTTGGTGACCGCCCATGTTGATGCTCTAACAATGTCTTCTTATGTGTTCTTGCGAAAAGACCCTCATATCCATTAATAACTCTAGCCAGTTATAAGCAGCACCTCACAAAGAACAGAAAATACCCTCGCCATCGCCGGGGTGAGTCGCTGGCTAATACGTCTCCAACGTATCTATAATTTTTGCTTGTTCCATGATGTTATATTATCAATCTTGGATATTTTATATTCATTTTATAGCAAATTTATATCATGTTTTGAGACTAACCTATTGACATAGTGCCCAGTGCCAGTTTTTTTTACTTAGCAGAATATCCCTACCAAACAGAGTCTAAACACAACAAAACTTTTTGGAGATTTTTTGGGACCAGAAAACAACTTGGGAGCCAAGGAAGCACCTGGGGTGAGGCCTGTGGGGCCCACAAGACATCACGGCGCGCCCTAATGGGTTGTAGGGCCCACGGGGGTCTCCTACACTGGCTCTCAGCTCTATAAATACCCATATTTCCATAAACCCTAAGGAAGTCGATGAAACACAATTCCAGCCGCCGCAAGTTCCAGAACCACGAGATCCAATCTAGAGCCCTATTTCGGCACTCCGCTGGAGAGGAACACAATCACATAGGGGTTCATCGTCCTCATTGGTGCTCCTCCGATGATGCGTGAGTAGTTCACCATAGACCTACGGGTCTGTAGGCAGTAGCTAGACGCTTCTTCTCTTTTTTTGATTCTCAATACAATGGTCTCTTGGAGATCTTTGATGTAATGACTTTTTGCGGTGTGTTTGTTGGGATCCGATGAAGTTCGAGTTTATGATCATATTTTTTATCCATGAATATTATTTGAGTCTTCTTTGATCTCTTATATGCATGATTATTTATAGCCTCTTATTTCTTCCCAGTTAGGCCAACTAGATTGATTTTTCTTGCAATGGGAAGAGGTGCTTCGTGATGGGTTCGATCTTGCGGTGTCTTCACCTAGTGACAGAAGGGGTAGTGAGGCACACATGTATCGTTAAGGATAAAAAGATGGGGTCTATTCTTACATGAATAGATCTTGTCTATATCATGTCATCGTACTTATTGCATTACTCCGATCTATCATTTGCCATATTTGTTTTCAGATCTATATTTCCAAAAACCCAAAAATATCTTCTTGCACTTTTTCTTTACTTATTTTATTTTGCGTTTTATCAAGATCTATTTATCCAAACTCATACAAATGTATCTATCTTTTTACCGAGGAGGGATTGACAACCCCTCTTACACGTTGGGTTGCAAGTATTTGTTCTTTGTGTGCAGGTACCATCTACATAGTGTTGCTTGGTTCTCCTACTGGATTGATACCTTGGTTTTCACAACTGAGAGAAATACTTACCATAGTTGTACTGCATCATCCCTTCCTCTTTGGGGAAATACTGACGCACTCTCTAGCCACGTCACTAGCACGCCGCTGCCCTTGCCGTTCCACATGTTTGTTGGCGAACCATCATAGCAGTCCGGAAGTCAAAGAACGTCAGTCCAAAGGACCAGCGAGAAAGCCATCGCCGGCAGGACCATCACCAGAAATGAACACCTTACACCCCTTATAGGTCGCAACACCACCCAGCAGAAAACCATCGGAGCAACGCAACACCACCTCGAACGACACAACGAGGACATAACAACCTCATCGAAGTGAAGACAGAAAGGAAGGACGAAAGCTCCATAGCAAGGCCGTAGCTCTCGCATCCACGACCATACACAGAATCGACGGATCAGCGATGATTGAATGTCGGACCCTCATCGGCTTAGACCCAAGGGGCCTCGGCGAGATGGAGAAGAAAGCCTGCACCACT